TGCATTTTATTGATGGCATTTTGAATGCACAGAGATACCGTGATGAGATCCTGAGGCCCATTGTTGTGCCATTCATCCACGACCATCACCTCATGTTGCAGCATGATAATGCACGGCCCCATGTTGCAAGGATCTGTACACAATTCCTGGAAGCTGAAAACATCCCAGTTCTTGCATGGCCAGCATACTCACCAGACATGTCACCCCTTGAGCATGTTTGGGATGCTCTGGATCGGCGTATACGACAGCGTGTTCCAGTTCCTGCCAATATCCAGCAACTTCGCACAGCCATTGAAGAGGAGTGGACCAACATTCCACAGGCCACAATCAACAACCTGATCAACTCTATGTGAAGGAGATGTGTTGCACTGCGTGAGGCAAATGGTGGTCACACCAGATACTGACTGGTTTTCTGACCCCCCCCCAATAAAGCAAAACTGCACATTTCAGAGTGGCCTTTTATTGTGGCCATCCTAAGGCACACCTGTGCAATAATCATGCTGTCTAATCAGCATCTTGATATGCCACACCTGTGAGGTGGGATGGATTATCTCGGCAAAGGAGAAGTGCTCACTAACACAGATTTAGATTTGTGAACAATATTTGTGAGAAATGGTCTTTTGTGTATATAGAAAATGTTTGAGATCTTTGAGTTCAGCTCATGAAAAATGGGAGCAAAAACAAAAGTGTTGCGTTTATATTTTTGTTCAGTGTATGTCATGAAAGACATCAGTGCATTTAATTATTTATATTTTGTTTTTTCACTTAAACTGTTTTCATAAGGAACTATTTTACAGCACTTCATGTTTATGGTCACTGTAAAATCTGTTGATTGATCAAATATCACCATCTGCTGGTCAGACAATGAAAATGTCAACTGGAATTATTTACATCAAAGAATGGAAAGTGAAACTTAAAGCTGAATTTATAATTGCTGAACAGAGCTGAGACGCCATTACAGAGTTACTCTGACGGGGATTAAAATCTCTCATTCAAAGGGACACAGATTTGGTGAGTCTTGCTGTTAAAGGATAATTCACATATCAGAGCAAATGGCTGAGAAAACTGCTCTTTTTGAAAGTTTCCTGAGATGCCATGTGTGTTCAGAGACTTTCAGAGATCCTGTGTCTCTGAGCTGCAACCACAGCTTCTGTTCAAGCTGCCTGCAGAAATTCTGGGAACAAGCTAAAAACATAAACTGTCCCATTTGTAAAACAAAGTCCTTGACAGATGAGCCAGCATTAAATTTTACACTGAAGGAACTGGCTGACTCCTTTGCTGGGAGACAGAACAATGATTCACCTGAGACAGAAAAAGAAAAGGAGAAAGAGGAGGTGGTGTGTGATAAACATCCAGACGTCTCTTATTGGTTCTGTATGGATGAAGATAGAGCTGTGTGTCCTGTCTGTGAGTTTTCTCTCCACCAGAGTCACAAGGTGGTTCCTATAGAACAAGCAGTCAGTGAGCTGAAGGACCAGCTGAAATCTGACTTAAAGTCTCTGCAGGACAAGAGGGACAAATACAAACAAGTGGAGGAAACATACAATGAAGTGATTCAACACTCCAAGAAGCAGCTGTTGTCCACAGAGAGGCAGATCAGAGCAGAGTTCAACAAGCTCCAGCAGTTCCTGAAAGAGGAAGAGGAGTCCAGACTGGCAGCTCTGAGGGAGGAAGAGGAGCAGAAGGGGAAGACTCTCAGCAGAGAGATGAAGATGATTGAGGAGCAGATCTCCTCTCTGTCACACAGTATCTGTGCTGTTGAAGAAGAGCTGCAGAAACACAAGGTGCCATTCCTCAGCAGTTATAAAGCCACTCAGAGCAGAGCCAGAGTCCAGTGCTCACTGTCAGATCCACAGCTGGTCTCAGGAGCGCTGATAGATGTGGCCAAACACCTGGGCAACCTGTCCTTCAGAGTCTGGGAGAAGATGAAGGACAAGGTCCACTTCAGTCCTGTCATTCTGGACCCAAACACTGCAAGTCCCCGTCTCTATCTGTCTGATGATCTGACCAGTGTGAGATGTGGAGACAAAGAGCAGCAGCTTCCTGACAATCCAGAGAGACACACTAAGTATGTCACTGTTCTGGGCTCTGAGGGCTTCAGCTCAGGGAAACACAGCTGGGAGGTGGAGGTGGGAGACCATCCTCACTGGCTTGTGGGTTTGGATAAAGAGTCAGCTGACAGGAAGGGAGAACGAATTCATTCACCAAAATATGGAACCTGGTTTTTAATCTATTACAGTGGAAACTACACTAATGGAGGTAAGACTGTCACAGTGAAGAAGAGTCTCCAGAGGATCAGAGTCCAGTTGGACTATGACAGGGGGGAGGTGTCCTTCTACGACCCTGAAGACATGACTCACATCTGCACTCACAGAGACACTTTCACTGAGAAAATCTTCCCATGTTTTAGTATCGGAAAGGCTGGTGATGCTAAAACTGCTCATATCAAAATGTGTCACAGTGAGATTTCTCTGTCATGTTCAGGGAGGGTGGTGAGCTCTCAGTAACATATTTGGATGTTTTATAATGGTGGTGTTTTGTTGTCATTTACAGACAATTCCAGTTTGTTCTTTGTGGGTGAGAATCGTGTCATTTCAAAGGACATACAGAAAATGTAGAGATCCAGGTTAAAGAAAAAACAAGATTTGATCTCTTTCAGCAAATTACATGATGGAACACATTCCTTGCTTGTTCTTTTATATACAATATATTTCCAAAACTTAAAGCACAAATGTAGGCAGAATTATGTGTGTAAACCATTCTTGGCAAAATGCTGTTTGTGGTGTAAATATGCAGCAAGAACTGGGATGAGTAGATTTCACTTTCTTATTTTAACTTTTATCTCCAGATTTTTCCCCCAATGATGAGCAACAACCTTAAGTTTGCATTAAAAAGGCTTTAATTTTAAATCATATAACCACAGAAAGTCTTGTCTTAATAATGACCTCCTTGTGTTTCATAGTGACTGGTTTACTGTCATAAATAAATGCTTCAGTTCCTTCAGTTGTTTTATGTGCAAACAAAACAGTTTAGCAGTGATGATGAAGATTAATTAATGATTTGCAGAATGACATTATATTCATTTTATGTCCATTTGAAGGACATTAAATGAGTTGATGGTGTTTGTGTATAATTTTCATTTTGTTTAAGGTGGAGAAAAGTACACATTTTGTTTACAGGCTAGTGAGTGTTTGGATCATTTTATGTCACACTTGTTGCATGTGTAATATTGTTTCCTGCAAAGTGTCACTAATACCTTATCGTTGTTAAGGGTCTGGTAGTAAATGGGTATCTGGGAGACAATCAGAAGTGACTGTGCCTCTTGATAGGTTGGTTCATTAAGAGTTTTTTTATGTCATTATCTCAGAAAACAAACACACAAATTGAATTATTCAGCACTTAAGAGGCTGTCAGATATTTATTGTTACTGAGGCATCTTCATGTTCATGATGTGGATAAAAATCACCACTAAATAAAATGTATTCTTCCATCTCTCATTCTTTCCTTTTCTTTTGGTGTTGGAAACAAACTCCACTCACCTGTTAAGTGAAATGTAGAAGTACATACGACACAAATAATAAATGAATACCTGTAAGAAAGAATATTTAAACAGTAAAGTTGTGGTGTGTCCACATGAACACACTATAGAAGAAGTAGAGTGGTGAGTAAATGTACCATTAGCTGTCTTCTGCTCCCCTCTGCTGGCTAAACATTGGTGCAGGATAAATATTGGAAACTGGGTGGATTGACCCAAGATGGTTGAGTCCATTGGTGCCTCTGATAGGGGTGTTAAACAAATGGTTAAAAACATTAACTTTGTAGTTCAAAGGAAATACATATTATTTGTAATTGATTAATATGCTTAATAATCACACGTTATGGATTAATAGGCTAATAATTCATGATGTGAAATGTAAAGACAGGATAAAGTATTCCATGCTGAGAAAAACTGTACAGTTAAAAGTTATTCATCTGCTCACTTTGTGTTACTGTGATGTATTTATGTGATATTGATTATGGCCATAAAACAATTGAAGTTGATGATGCAAAATAGTAATAGCTCTGTTTCTACACAGGTGAGGTTTTTGAGATCCTATGGAAAATTACATGTGGATTTGAGATTCTACCTGACAAGAGAGATGGCAAGCCACCCATTAACCTGATCTCTGCCTAGACCCAAGGAGTTGGATCAAGATCACCTATTATCCGCAGGAGCCCATCCATTCTTCTACCTCCATCACTTGAGCATCACACTCCAGTGTGGTAGTAGTATCACAACAACCTTTTCCACTTGACTTGTGACTTAAAAAGTGCATTTGTCACAATAAAGGATTAAAACTACACTGAACAGTTTATAACAGAAGGAACAAAACTGAACTTGAATAAGATAACCAGTGGAACTCTGTTATTTTTTGTCAGGGACACTTTGATTCGTCTTTGTATTATTTTCTGGTAATATTGTTACCTTGTGAAGCATTGAACTAACTGTTTTTAAAGGGTTAACATCTGAGTGCCACGCTACAGACTAAGGACAGGCAAACAGCGCAAACTTCATAATGCCAGCCCAGTCTCTTTTGTTAGTATATACTTAGGTGGAAAGTACTGCCTAGTTTCCTTGTAAGTTTTGGTGAAAGTACGCTGTAGATGTGAGAATAGCACCTACCATGTGGTTTCTGTGTAATTAAATAATAAAAACATTTTATAACTTTTCATGACTCATTATTGTGTATTTTAAGATATATGTAGGCGATATTATTACATTACTGTATTATTTGTGTTTCTTCCTCGGATGGCACTACAAGACTTCCAGAGATGTGCACTTGAGAGTGGTAAGTTTGCTTTGTACTCCAGCCTGCCCTTTAATTAGGTAATTTGCAGAATATAGACCTATTTCTTGACATATTCATATTCAAACTCATTCAATGAAATGTAAACAAAACATAAATATTAAAACCCTGGAGTGTGGGTGGAATTGCCCGATGACACAAAGGCTACATAAAAGTGACTGAATCAACTGCCATGAGCAAAGGGCAAAGGCATTTGTTTTTACTGCACTTCATACATATACAGATTCATATAAGGAAATTAAACCATAAGTTTTGGGAAATTACAGAAGTGACGAGTTATACTCTAACTCCCTGGAAAGTATGTGGTAAGTGACCGGGAGGAGTTATACTCTAACTCCCGGGAAAGTATGTGCTAAGTGACCACAAGGAATTATGCTCTAACTCCCGGGAAAGTGCATGTAAGTTCCCGGGAGTTATACGCTAACTCCCGGAAAAGTGGGCAAGAGGTACACTCTAAAACGTGGGCTGACTTATGAAGTGTTACTGGGTAACGGTAAAGTCAGATCTCATCAACCAAATACCTGCTGCTTGAGTGAGCTCATTAGAGTGGACATCAGGACCAAAGTGACGGTGGACAGATGGTGTTTAAAGAGTGATTCAATGACAATAGTTCATGTTGTACTTATAGTAAAAGGGTGTTGAACAGTCAGTGGTGGAAGAAGTGCTCACATCTTTAACTTCAGTAGAAGTAGCAATACAACAGTGCAGAAGTACTCTCACAAATAAAAGTCCAGCATTCACAATGTTACTAAAGTAAAAGCACAAAAATATCAGCATCAAAATATCTTTAAAGAACCAAAAGTCAGAATGTTAATTGTGCTGAACGGCCCAATTCAGAATAATGTATGTCATTGTGTGATAGTTACTGATGTACTAACCATTCACAACTGGTAAATATGGGGCTAAATTTGATTGTTTTATATAGTGTTGGGTAGCTTTTGACTTTCCCCAGATATAAATAAAGTTTTACCTCTTAACCTATAACAATACAGCATTTATTTGTTAATTATATTTTGTGTTATTAATCTCAATCCGGTAAGTAACTAGAAACTTAAGTTATCAAATAAATGTAGTGGAGTAAAAAGCACTTTTTCAAAAGATGAAAGTAACTGTGAGTAAATCAGTAAAATATTAACGATAAAAAAATAGAACCAAACAAATTTCAAATGAAATAAAACAAGGGGGGTTGTTATGATGCCTTTATGGTCATACAGACACACATGAATGATTCAAAGACACATTTGATGCACATGTACTGTTCCTAATGCACTATTGTTTACATGCAAATCACTCATATAGTGAATTTCAGAAGGGCTTCTGGAGCTTTCTAGTCTATTGTGGTGCTTCCTCTTTGAATGAAGTCCCTTAGATCACTGGGCAAGTGAATTATCAGTAGCTGCCACACATTTAAAAAGCTGCTCTCATTTCCTTTGGTTTTGGCATCGAGTCTTTCCATGGGAAGGACTCTGAAGAGATCTGCGCATTTGATAGCTGCGTGCCTGACGAGCCTTACACTGACTGCTGTGCAACAGGTTTGTCAAAGGACGTCACTGAGAAGTGACTTTCTCTCTGAACAGACTCATGAAACAGATCACTGTCACTGCAGCTCTGACACCTCACTGCATCTATTCAATCAAGAGACCAAATAAAGGCATGTTAGTGAGAGCCTGAAGAACATCTGGGTTATTAAAGGTGTGCTGCCATGTTGGAAGAGTTACAACAACATGCAAAAACTCACCGACTGTCATGTTGGCAGCTTTTGTTTCTCCGTCACAGATATGCCACAACCCTGTTGTGTATGATGAGAATGTTTACAGAACATTCAACTGGTAAACAACTTCTCTGCTACCTTAATATAATGTTTTCAAGTCTCAATGTGTTCCTGTCTACTGACTAACTGACTGTTGGAAGAATAACTGCTACAAGAAAAGACGCATATGAAGATCTAAATGAAGAAAGAAAGAACATCTGGTTATTTTTGACTTCATGTTTAACTTTGAAAGAATAAAGTTTTGGCATTTTGACTTTCAGCAGATTGTAAAGACACTGACAAAACTTGTATGCATTGTTTTTAACGAACAATGTGATGATTTATTTGTTTTGCAGTTGTTAATCTTATGATAATGATTCCAACCTATTCATGGTGGGAAGGAATCAAGTCGTCCTGTGACCCAGGGCAGGAAAAGAGTGCAATGATGCGAGAGTGAATGAATGAATGAATGGATTTGTAAATAAATGAGGACAGTGGAGAAAAACAGAGCAAGCTGTACAATACAAAAAGTCAAACGAGGGTTGAATTAAAAGGTAAACATATACTTGTATTTTCACTGAAGAATAAACATATAATCAAACTGGCTGAAATAAAAGTCATACTGACACATTGGCAGAACAAGTTTCCTGTTACATGTTCCTGTTGGCTGGAACATGTTGAAAAATGTTGTGTAACTGGTTTAGTGTCAGTCACACAGTTAAGGTGTTCACTTCCTTGTTTCGTGTTCATGGTGTTTATATGATTTGTAGAAATTAATTATTCATTACGTACACACAAAAAGTCAGTTTCCTTTTATTTTGTTTGCCTACAGATGCACGTACAATGAATCTGTACTATACTAAATCAAAAGTGAAATATTTGTCCCGAGAACATACTGACACCATCTGCTGGTGACTAAATGACATAGCAGCATTTGCTGCTGATAATTCAACCTGTAGCAGAGGCGTGTCCAAATGAAAGATTTTGAAATTGTTGATCAGACTTGAGACGCCACTACAGGGTGTGAGACCTCTGCATGCTGGACAACACGTTTGGAAGATTTAGAAAAACTTGGTGAGTCTTGCTTTTGAAAGATAACCAAGACAAATGGCTGAGAAAATTGCTCTTCTTGAAAGTTTCCTGAGCTGCCATGTGTGTTCAGAGACTTTCAGAGATCCTGTGTCTCTGAGCTGCAACCACAGATTCTGTTCAAGCTGCCTGCAAAAAGTCTGGGAACAAGCTAAAAACAAAAACTGTCCCATTTGTAAAAGAAAATCCTCAAAAGAACTGATCTTCATTGACTTTGCACTGAAGGAACTGGCTGACTCCTTTGCTGGAAGACAGAAACCTGGATCATGTGAGGCAGAAAAAGGAGAGAAGAAGGAGGAGGTGGTGTGTAGTAAACATCAAGAAGAGCCAAGATTGTTCTGTAAGGATGAAGATAGAGCTGTGTGTCCTGTCTGTGAGTTTTCTCTCCACCAGAGTCACAAGGTGGTTCCTATAGAACAAGCAGTCAGTGAGCTGAAGGACCAGCTGAAATTTGACTTAAAGTTTCTGCAGGACAAGTTGGACAAATATTAATATGTGGAGGAAACATACAATGAAGTGATTTAACACTCCAAGAAGCAGCTGTTGTCCACAGAGAGGCAGATCAGAGCAGAGTTCAACAAGCTCCAGCAGTTCCTGAAAGAGGAAGAGGAGTCCAGACTGGCAGCTCTGAGGGAGGAAGAGGAGCAGAAGTGGAAGATTTTCAGCAGTGTGATGTATATGATTGAGGAGCAGATCTCCTCTCTGTCACACAGTATCTGTGCTGTTGAAGAAGAGCTGCAGAAACACAAGGTGCCATTCCTCAGCAGTTATAAAGCCACTCAGAGCAGAGCCAGAGTCCAGTGCTCACT